TTTTTCTTTTTTCTTTTTTCTTTTTTATTTTTTCTTTTTTCTTTTTTCTTTTTTCTTTTTTCTTTTTTCTTTTTTCTTTTTTCTTTTTTCTTTTTTCTTTTTTTTCTTTTTTCCCTGCAAAGGAACATTTTTCCATTGATGGTGGCAGTTCTGCTTATTGCTTTATGCAAAATGGTGAAAATTTGAACTGCAGGCTCCCTATAGTCATTTTAATCCCTATTTTTATTGTATAACACTCCAGTGGATGCTGTATTAGGTTGAGGTTTCCAAGACATCGCAAAATGTAAGTAAGGAATGGAGACTACTCCCTCTAATTCTGTAATGATATTGGTAGGAATATGTGGTGAAGAAGTCCAGCAATTTGGTGCAGAGTGTGGGGAAGGGCTGTAGACAGGGGCTGGATCCTGGACTGATCTTCAGCAGTTGACTTCATCTACTGCCTGTGATTGTGTCACAGGGACTCTGGTTTGAACATAGCGAATACCGACTAGGAAAAAAAACCAAAAAAATTATTCCCATTAGCACTGTGGCTTTTATGCCCACTGTTGTATGTGCAAAGTGGGGGGCTGCTGCCCTGTTCTCCTCAGCAGCCCAGAGCTGCCTCCCTGTTGGCTTGATTTATGCTGTGTTGGTTGTGAAGTTTGTCAGGCAGGCAGACAGCGTCTGGAGCACGGTTAAACAAAGGTTATTCTCCTCTGTGCTCATCTGCTTACCTCATATTTAGTCATTTGCCTTTTATTGCCTACCTCTATTTCCTATCAGCATTTTAACATTGATGCTGAATGCTAATTACTCTGGGTGAACGCGTTTCAAGGTTATCATAAATTTTACATGCTCTAGGTTTATTTTCCACACTTATTGATTTTCCACAGACTGCTCTAGCTTCCTGAGCTTTTCCTCCTAGTCCTTGGGATTAGGATGGCTGTCAGGCCCCGAAGCCTGGAGGTTTGTATTTCTTATTTCTCTTCTATATGTGAGTCTCCTGGGATTTGGTAGCATTAGACTGAGCTGTGTAAGCTTGTGGAGGTAGTTCAGATTAAAGAGAAGTCCTGACTGTTTTTGTGCCTGCTCCCCCACTCAACCTTGGATTTTGGAAACTGCCTTAGTTAACATCCACTTTTACAAGTCACTCTCTGTGAAGGCTGGTCCTCCTCCCCTCCGCACCCAAAGGCACACCATACATTACTGGAAGTAGTTTCCCACGGTGGTGCATTTGGAGGTCTAGGAGAAGGGAAGCATTGGCTTAGGAAGAATGATTTCCATTTGTGGTAAGAGAACAGTTGGCTCATGACAGAACTCACTGGAGTCTTTATGCCACCCGTGGGGTGAATGGAACATACTTGAGAGTCACCCATGTGCATGTGAAAGTCCCTGTTTCAGGCAGGGGAATATGGGCTGTCTGTGTGGGTGTCTGAAGGTCATGAAAAGTGTGAAGCCAACTACTGCTGCGGCTTTTGTACTCCATGCAACTCGAGGTGGTTTGTGTGCAAATTATCCTTAAACCACTGCATAGATCATGCATGGAGAAAACTTTTTTGAAAGCATTCAGATGCACCCAGGGGTGTACCTGTTACATGGATGGCATCAACGTTTTTCAGTATTAGTCTGTCCAATGGGATGGGTTGGTCCAAGACTTGGCAAAATCCACCTTCTCTTACAACTGACTGCAGCTCCGGAGCAAGGGAAGGACAGACAAGGGTTAAGCCTGTGTCTGAGCCCCCGTATTTCTGAGAATAGAAAATGAAGTTGATTAGTATGCTGTCTGCCATCTGCTCGTAAAGTACAGGCAATAAACAGCCCTAAATTATGTGCTGTGTCTCATCAAAGGTGTTCAGAGATTTATTTGCCAGAGCAACATCAGAAACTATTTCTCTGAAAAACTCATCAGTACCTGGAACTCTCTTGTCAAGGTCACACCTTGTATTGAAATGGCACGACAGAAACACAATAAAGGTCCTCAGGCAGAAAACAAAGATGTTGAAAGATCCTCTTTCACCTATCCTTTCAATATCAGATTTTCTCAATTTCTTGGAGATACATTTCCCTGTCTCCCCTCATGAACATGCAGAACACAGAATTGTTGGGTCTCCAGATGGGTAACAACCTCACTCAGAATACTCATCAATACGTATACAGGCAAACCCTCAGTGAGGTTTGCCAGCAGGCACCAAGCCCCTTGAATTTCTGTTCCTTTCACCTTTCTCCTGCTGTAGGATGGTGTTGTGCAATGAATGATTCTAGAGCAACATCTTCTGTATGTCCTATAAAAGCAGAGCAACTGCTTCTATTATTTTAATATCTCTAAATTCAACCTAAGCTTATTGATATTTAGTATAGGTCTGCTTAGGCTTAATTTATATCAGCTTTGTAAACTTAACTAGCTAGATACTTTTTTACGTACTTGTATTTCTGGGTTGGACTGAATCTTGAGAGGATCATTATAAACTTATATTCTTGAAACTTCCGAACTCAAGGAATCCAGCATATAAGAACGGCATCAGGAAAATGTTTGGTCTAGTATTGCAAGTTCTGCCTGTGGCTCCCCTGTAACATACTGAATCTAGAAACAGGTTCATTCATTTATCTAGATAAAAAAACATAGTAACAGATGCAATCACATACCTCTCAATCCGTTATTACCTTTTTGTTACGTTTAATTTTGGTGATTGATAGGAAATCATCAAATAGAAAGAGGTAGACATCAAGAAGTCTTGTGCTTTCTGAGGAGGAAAGAAAAGTCAGTGTGATGGCATGATTATTTTAAGGAATTGCTGTTCCTACATTGAGGCACATCTAGGAATCACTGCATCTCATAGAACACTTAACAAAGAAATAATACAGTTTCCAATACAGTACACAACTACTAGTCTCCTAGTCTGCATTCTCAATCTTAAATGTGTTATACTTTTTCTTTTTTGGCTATTAATATTTGTAGTGGCTACCATGTTATGCAAAAACAACTGCCTGCCCATAGAAATGATGTGGATCACCTGCAGTGCCTCTAAATGCAACAGCTGGCATGCTACAAATTAGCAAATCCTACATAGTAAATAAGTAACCTTCTGAAAATGTCAGAGATAAGGAAGCAGTGAAATGCCGCTCTTTTCTGCCACCTGTAAATACCTGTCTGCAGCCTTCTGCGCAAGCTATCACCTTGTTGAAATGTTAGTTGGTGGTTTCACAAAGACCTTTCAAAAGCTACACAGAAGAGAGATGGCTTTTCTTCCTTGTTTGGAAGGTCATGAGGATGTGAGATGTACAACAACAGGTGTCTGTGAGAATGCTTCTAAGTCTTGAAGTTGTATCTCCATGCCTTGGTGAAAACTCCACTGTTATTGCTATAGAAATAACAGGGAATAATTTAATGGAAGGAAGAGCAATTTTTTAAGCAACTTCCTCTGGGAAATCTGGCATTTAGTCTCCAGAAAGCTCTCTACATGAATGAATTTGCAGTTTTGCCCTTTGATCTTTTCCTTGTTTACAGCTCCTCCTTATTCTTTTATGCCTTCTTGTCTTTCATTTCCCTGTTTTGTCTCAACTTGCTATCCTACTCAACCTCCAAAATCATTCTCTATGTGTGCTGCAGGCTTTATCCTTTATCAGTCCTCTGTTTAGTCTGTAAACTGGTAGAGCCTCGGGGGGCATGAAAAGCCCAGCTACTCTTCACTGCAAATAGGGATGCTCAGAGCTACTGGTTCCAGGCAATTTGCAGGATGATAAAATACTTTCTTGGTTGCTTTGTTCTGAAATGCTTTGTCTTGAAAACCTATTTCATTAAGATTGTACAAAGTACCTTCAGTAACTACTGAAAAGGAAATGCCATGAGGATCATCTTATGTACCGATGGAGATTCAGAAGACTGTAAGCTGGGCTGTTGATGTGTATTTAAAAATACTCTTGTGTAAGTTTCTATGAAGTCAAAAACTTGATAGGATGTTTTCTACAGCTTCGCTCATACAGTGTATGGCTTTTGTGAGCATTATACAGGAAAAAAAAAAAAAATTGTTGCAAACCCTACCACTGTTCTCTCAACCTCTTCTGATATCTCATGAATTTATCACATCTTTTGCATATCTGAAGTTAGGTTTTATTAATTGAACTCTTTACCTTGCGGTTAAGATCAGCAGAATTTCAAAGAAACTTAACCAAAAAACAAACCTAAACAAAATGAGGAGGATAGTAACTTGTCTTCATTTTCTTGAAATAATATATATATATATATACATATTTATTTAGAAGGGAAACAATTGATAGCATTCTCAAAGATTTCCCATGGTGAATTTCATATCTGTTGGCTACTTGAATTCTTATGTTCTTCCTGGGCATTTCATTCTCCAATTTAAAAACTTGACTTCATAGACTTTCCCTGACTTTCACTTAGTAACACGACAGCCTGATCTTGATCTTTGACTGTACTATCTCTTGACTCCCAGTCCCCCTAACCATCCATTTTTGATTGTGCTATTTTTAAATAGCAGCTGACAGCAGAAGGAGTATTTGCTCCTTGAACATTCTGATGAAGAACCTGCGTTTCTTGAAATAGAAACTTTCTAGCATTTCCTTCTGGATTCTAAGATTGCCAAAAAACATAAAACTGTGTTGCCAGTGGTTACAGTTTCATTCAAAGAAGCACAGTTCACTTTAACAACAGATATGTTTGAATCAGGGGTGTGACATTAGGATGTGCTTCTTTCTTTGTGCAGCATTACATTTCCGTTGTGTCTTGAAAGATATTTCATCCAGACAGATGGACAGATACCAGACACTTCAATACTGCAGCTTGCAGCCAGCTGGCTTTCTTGGTGGGTAAGAGTTATGCTCATGCCTCTCCATTTTCTGATTACATATTGCAAAAAGAAATGTGGCTGCCTGATGTCCACCCTTACCTCACTGCATTTATGCTGGTGCCTTGTCAAGAGGGCAATGAATGTAGGGAGAATGCTATCAGAAGTGTCTTTCTTCCTCCTCTGCCCACCACCCCATACACAGCAGCAGCAGTCTTTCCCTCTGATTCCCCTATCCCTGGTGCTGCACCTTCTCCTCTGCTACTGCAATCCTCCTCATGTGGGAAGAAAACCAAAACCACTGAAAAATGGGCTCTGTCCCTTCACTGTTCCTTTTATGAAACTAATAGTAAGAGGCAGGAAGTATTGGGACCTCCCTGTCTGTACCTCTGCTTTTGTCGAGGTGAAGGAGTTTTAAGGCAGTGGCTGGGCCAACTTCTGCTGCAGCCACCCTTGCATGCTGCTTTCACTTTTCAGATGCTGCTCTTCTCCAAGTGATCCAACCACCCAGGCTCTTCTTGCTGTTCAGGCACAGAGGAAATGCTCCTCTCATTTGCAGGCAGCTGCTACCCAATAAGCAGCCTCTACCCTGCTACAGAATGGTGCCTCTGAGTCTGGAGATGTATCTCCCAGCTATGCCAGGGTGGTCGGTGGCTGTGAGCACACTGAAGTGGGACTGCTGTGCTCCATGTGATGTTAGTGGCAGGCATGGTGGTGAGTGTGTTGCTGATGGAAAGGAAGCCGCTCAGCTTGCTATTGTTTACATATTACCTTCTTGTTCCAAGCTTTGCATCAAAACAGCAGTCTTAGCAGAGATGAATTACAAAATGGAAAAGGAAAACCTCTGGATTTTTCATTTTAAGTATAATGTGCAACATCATGGAATTCAAGTTCCAGAGGCGAGGCTTCCTGATATCAGTTCCCAGGCATGTGGGGCATTTTACGTAGGGCGGTCTAAACTTCCCAATGTCTTTTTGCCACATCCTCGAACCTGACAGTGTAACTCTCCCTCTGAGTGACAGGCACATGCGAGTCAATCTGATTTCCTGAGCACCTGGCAGATTGAATGTCCAGATGTGCTGATAAGCAATCATGATCATTACTCATCCCTTTGGCATTCTGGCTATTTCTCAGGCTTTCTCTGACAAGATGTTTGCTGCTTCTTTCCTGCAGCTGCCCATACTATCTTAGAATTCATTCTGGACTGCCATAACAAAGTGTAATTTCGCTAAGCTGATTCCCAATACCAGGACATAGGGATGTTACCTGCCAGTGTCAGCCTCCTGTCGTGAAGAAGTCTGCTTGCTGAAGACAAAATGTTTTCACTGTTGTTCTCTCTCAAGCTTTGTTTCAAACACACCAAAAAGAGAAAGACAGTGAGAGAATGGGGAGTCTCACATATCCAATTCCAAATTGGGATGAATCCAGCAGTTAAATGGAGACAATGTTTACTGATTTATCAGGCTAAGTACACCACAGAGCTAATAATTGAGCATGACTGAGTTTCTTCAGCAGTGCTATTGCTTAAATCTGTTTAACCTTCTGAAATGTTAAGCTGGGTTTTTCTTTTCCAGAGTAAATGTAATGTTTTTTTCAGCTCTGTGCATGAATAGACAAATCCTTGAGGTGAGACTCGCCTGATGATATTACCATAAAGCTGTTTAAAGTCTGTTTGTCTGGATAGGGAGCAACCACAAAAGAAAGGTGTATGTGTTCTCATGGATGCTAGGTAACTTTAAATGATATTTGAATAAGAAATGGGAAATTGGCTTACCATGAAAAGTAGAAGAGGCAAATATTTCCTATTTACTCTGCTGCTTAAAATAAATGTATTAATGGTTATATTTATCACATTTCACTCTGCCCCCCAAAAGCAAACAGTGGAGAGTCCTCCTGGCTCATCCCGTCATACTGTCTGGGATGTTAGCGGAAAGCAATTCATGCTGCCATCCTGGGGACTGTGCACAGTCTGATTGTTCACCAACAACATTAGTATGTTCAGGCTGTGGCTGCTCCTGTGAGGGCGAAGCCCACCACAGCAACCAAAGTACAGACAATCAGTTGGCTTTAGACTGCATTATAGGTTGGAAACTAAGCCTTCCCGAAGGAAAAACGCCCTTAAAAGTTCTGCTTACCTCTGGGACAAAGAATCTCTTGTAATGATCCCAGACTTCAGGCCAAATTATGACCTCATGGAGCTGCCTGAATTTCTGAAAGTTGTCCAACCACTTGACTTTACCTTTCAGATCCTCTGAAATATGTAAAGCATCAGTTACTGCCAAGGCTGGCAAAAAATAGGCTGCCTTTTTGAAGGTGATGAATACTGATTATCTCTGGTAGAAGCCAAAGGATGGAGTCCTGGCCTAACTGGAGACAATGACTTAACTCTTTTTAGGTCAGCAAAGTATCAAACTGTGCATTCAAAGAGGCCTAAATTCACTGCTGAATGCAAAAGTGCTATCCATTAATCTGACTTAGCAAGTGAGGGAATTGTATAAAACTCATTTAAATGATTGCCTTAAAAAGTTCTTGAAAAAATTCTGCCTTTCTGAACACTGTCTGAAGTGGTGAGAGGAAAATAATTTTCATTATGTACAGTCTGATCAAAAGGCTGTTGAAAATAATGAGAACATTTTAAGGAGAAGTAGTGCCAGAAGTGGCTGAAGAATATAACTGGAATGAGTGTCTCAATACATGAAAAATGGAGATTTCAGTCTTTGCTGATTGAGGGCCATTGCAGGAAAAACTTGAACGGACCTGCAGTTTAACTCCAAAGTTTTCATGTTGAATGATGTTGCAAAGAGTTGTTTCAGATAATGCACGTATATATACCAGTGAAGAAATTCTGGAACTGATGCTATTCTTTATGTCACTGGCTTACTTGTCAACAAATTATGGCAAACATCTGTCAGGTCTGCGAGTAAAGAGGCCGACAGCTCCTGTCTTTGGTTTCCTTACCTTAGAGGTAACCTTAAGCGCAATGTAACCAAATCCTAAACACTGGAAGACCTTTGTTGTTGTTCCCTAGATATCCCATGATGTTGTGGGCCCATATCCACATCTCCTTTCTCCCAGCAGAGGTCCACCATTTAGTGACAAAAGACCACCTTATCTTTCTGGAGCAAAGAGTGGAAAAGGCTTGTCTGTTTTCTTCTACAACCTTAGCAAAAACAGGGATGAGCCCAGAGATCAGCAGTGGAGGTCATGCTGAGAGTCCCCAACTGGAGACACGTACTGCACCCTGGCTGTGTACCTACTGAATTGAGCAGAATCCAGAGGAAAATGAACAAAAAGCTTCCTGGATCAATCCCTTCTTTTTCTATAACAACTAGGGAAAAGTTGTAGCTCTGATGGCTCATCTGCTGCTTTTCACGGTAGGACCCTGTCATTTAGTGAAAGGTCATTGGCACAATATTCCCCTTGTGAGTGGTATTTTATCCTATTAAGGATTAGCTCCAACAAATCCTCTTCATACATAAATCCAACTCAAAGACTTCTTTGTTTGGGATTTTTCTTTATTTGTTCCAATTTGTGATCTGCTCTTAATTGTTTCCATGTCGCTGCAGATGACTCTGAGCCAACACAAGTGAGTCACTGATGTGGGAGTCCTGTGACCTTGCTCAGAGGGCCCATGAGTGGCACCAATCATTTCCTACAAAAGGACTCAAGACTGTTGAAAGGCATGCACATTCTCCCATTCTGTGGGGAGAACAGCCTCGAGCACAAAAACATCACGTAACTTAGTAATTGTTGGTTGTATATTTTTGACTTAACCATAGCTACTTACGTATGGACTTTTTCACTTTCTCTTCAAGTAACCAGATAGAATCTTTCTTTGTTTCATCAGTGCTCCTCTTCCAGATGTTGTTCGGGAGGAGGAGATAGCGGGTCAGGCGGTGCAGAGGAGCCACCAGCAGCTCCGTCAGGTGCAGCCTCCTGCACTGCTCCTCCTGCTCACACCACTGCTGGAGACAAAGGGCACCTCTCTTAGGCCTCTGCTCTCTGGCAGTGAGGTTGTATGCATCAGCTGTAATGAGATGGGCTAACTAAAGACAAATTTCTTACCGAGGGTAAGGCTGATGTAAAGGCTGTAGCTACCATGCATGCATTGCTGCTTTCAGGCAGAGACAGAACCTGTTCTGTTGTTTTTACTCTTCATAAATTCTGTCTCTGCAGTGGTTGCTTGCTCTAACATCCAGGATGCTGCTTCCTCTCTGAGGCAGTATGGATTAATGGATTTTCTTGTGTAAGCAAAGCAGACCAGCCTTCTTGCCACAGCCTGGCCAAAACCCACCCTTCTCTTTCACTGTAGGCTCTCAAGCCCTGTGAATGCACTGATGTGCTCCTGGCTTTCTGTCTCCTCTTTTTTTGCCTTGCATTATGTATTCCTTATGGAGAAGCAAGTCATGATATTCTTCTCTGGCCGTGAGGTCGGTGTATATCGAGGAAGGGAAGATTTAGGTTGGATGTCAGGGCGAAGTTCTTTACTGTGAGAGTGGTGAGGTGCTGGAACAGGCTGCCCAGAGAGGCTGTGGATGCCCCTTCCTGGAGGTGTTCAAGGCCAGGTTGGATGGGGCCTGGGCAGCCTGATCTAGTATGAAATGGGGAAGTTGATGGCCCTGCATGTGGCAGGGGGGTTGGAGATTTATTATCCTTGAGACCCCTTCCAACCCTGGCCATTCTGTGATTCTGTGGTCACTGTTGATGTGAAGAAGGCGAGGCCATCCGTGGGTAATGGGTGCGATGACAGTGTTGCCAATTTCCATGAATCATCCTCAGCCCTGACCCTCCCAGCCCATCACTATGACTCTCTGCTTGTGTGTGTGATGCCACTGAACACTTACAATGCTCCTGAGGTCCTTCAGCCCCTCACTGAGTTATGGGCTTACTTGGTTAAAATGTAGGTCAGCGTGTCAAGGAATTATGTGTGGAACACATGAATGCTTAAGGCTGACAGTACATATTATCTGCCTGTAAAAATGCAGCCTCTTTTTTCTTTTTTTTTTTTTTTTTTTCCTTTTGGCTTTTTCCTACTCTTGCCTGTTCTAAATTGCAAATATGACTAAGGGAAAGTTATACTCTGAACGATGACTTCATATCCATGATTATTCACTGCAGTTCAGGTATTTATGTAAAATGCTGTCTACACAGTTCTGCTTCCAGTGAACTTTTCTGGTCTGATGATAAAATTCTGTCAAAAGACAGGAAGGCTGGAGATAATAAGAACAAAACCACTACTTTACCTTCAGGTAGATGCCAAAATCTTCCCTCTGTCTCAGCTTTTCCAAGTAGAAGACAGTGGTGGTATGATTGAGGCAATAAATCTGGTGTGTCTGGCAGAGGTCACCCTGGAAAAACTGCAAAATAGGCTTGAAAGCTTGTCAAGAAAGGAAAACGTGATGACAAAAGGAGGAATTCTGCTTTTAGTTTTGTAATGTGGCTTTCACCTGAGATTACCTTGTACTTAGGGAGAGAGTGGAAGAGGGAGAGTTTAAAAGAGTGAAGGGTGAGTTAAGCAGTACTCAAATTGGTATAATACTTAAAAAAGAAAGGTGGGGAAGGGTTCAAACACTGAATGGGAGCCCAGTTCTAGAGGCTCTGCAGAGGAGAAGCAGTTTTAGACTTTGTTCAAATTAAAAATAAACAATGTGAAACTGATATGGAAGCTGAAGATCAAAAGCACTGCCTGAGCAAGAGATTTATGTGGCCTCACATAATATGCCACTTTATTTCCAAGTATGTTAGCTCTTAGAAATACTGAATGACATCAGTGATAAAGCTCATTATTTCTGGGATTGAAACACTTGAAGTCGGAGGAAATTAGGGTAAGACTCTCTTTGCCTTTTTAAAACCCTAAGCACTCTGAGATAGGGTCTTTCCTAGAAGCTTTCTATGGTCTCTACTGCTACAGAAAATTCAAGTTTGGCTATCACATGGTAAACTTGATGATTTCCTGTCTGCATTAATATTACCTGCTGTTTGGCCATAAGGAAGTTGTACAGGAAATAAAATGCTTGTGGGAGAACCCCTGAACATTGTTCTCACTCTCTTGCGTATCATGTTGATGACCTGAATGTCTTGGCAGCAGCAAGATAGCTGGGTCTGTTCCTGCTTCTCACTTAGCAGACACAGGCCAAAGTACATATGTATTTCACTGAGCTCTTATATACTCGCTTAAATACATTTATGGGTCTGGTATGTGGAGTAAAGGAAGGATCTAGATGACGGACTGGAAGGAGGCAGGGTACAGCTGGAGTCTGGGCCAGTGTCTGGATTTAGGGAAACCTCCCCTGCAGACAGAGAAGCTTGGTTCTGTTGGTGACAAAGTCTTCTCAAGGTCTGGGCTGTGGTTCCCAAGGAAGGGAATATCTTTCCATGCTGTGTTCCATGTACAGAGCAACTTTCCATGACCACCTCAAACATGTCAATGAATAAAAATGTCCTACTGGTGGGAAGTACTTGAGGCTAAGGCCAAACTACCTGTGACAGCTGGCATATCCTTGACTGACTTGACTGCTTTAAGGCACTGCATACTCTGATAAATGACCTGTTGCAAGGACCTAGTGAAGTTAAACAAGAATATTTCTAATTATGTTACCTTTCTGAGTGTGGAGATGAAGTTCATAGGTGATCCTGATTCACTGACATATTCCTTCACAGTTTCCAAAAATTTTCCACAGAGCTGAGGCTTATCTAAGTAAGGGGGAGAAAAAGAGAATTAGCATGACTGAACTTCCTCAGTTTAAAATAACTTTATTTCTCATTCCTGACCTCTTCACAGTCTTCAGGCCTAACATTTATCTCCATGATGTTGCCAGGATTATCTTCAGAAAATTACATCAAGTGTTTTAATTAGTCAGAAGATAAAATAAATCTATACAAATAGCCAGTTACATCATAGAATCATAGAATCACTCAGGTTGGAAAAGACCTTAACGATCATCAAGTCCAACCACGACCTAACCATACTTCACTAACCAACAACCCTCTGCTAAATCATGTCCCTGAGCACCACATCCAAACGGTTTTTAAACACGTTCAGGGTTGGTGACTCATCCACATCCCTGGGAGCCCATTCCAGTGCTTAACAACCCTTTCTGTAAATAAGCTTTTCCTGATATTGAATCTAAACCTCTCCTCGTGTAACTTGAGGCCATTTCCCCTTGTCCTGTCACCTGTCACCAGTGAGATGAGACCAACCCTGCTCTCACTGTAAGCACCTTTGAAATATTGGAAGAAAGCAATAAGGTCTCCCCTCAGACTCCTTTTCCCCAGACTAAACAACCTCAGTTCCTTCAGTCTCTCCTTGTAGGGCATATTCTCCAAGCCCTTCACCAGCCTTGTTGCCCTTCTTTGGACCTGCTCCGACACCTCAATGTCCCTGCTGTACTGAGGTCCCCAAAACTGAACACAGTACTCATGATAATACCACATGACAAAAGCTTTGGAAGAGGATTATGATTACTCTGTTTAAAATTACTTTATGGTAACAGCTGTACTGGACATGAATCAACATGGAGCATCACAATGGATGAATGATATCTACTGGAAAACATTGTGTGTGACGGCTGTGACAATTGAAGCCTTCACATTCATTTGAAGAAGAAATCATATTTCATAGTCTAAGTTTGTTTAGTACTCTAGGAGATGAGGGAAAATTCTGTAAAATGCTTTAAAATGTAGAAACTGCATTTGAAAACCCCATATGCCCTGCAAGTTTTCCAAGGGTGCCTACACTGTCAATCAGATGTGGGTGAAAGCCTGTTCCTAACCTCTATGTGCCTCTCAGTGTTTGTTCCCAAATTCACAACCAGGCTAAGCTTTGGGCCAAAGTTTTGTTCAGTCATAAGGGAAGAATTGTATGGGTTCAGTGCACTGTCAGAGGCTCAAACTCTGTGTTGCCCATGTTTAGAACATACAGCAGTCCTGGCCAGATAAGGGCCATCACATGTGTTTGAAGGCTTTGTCAGGTCTTCATCAACCTTGTCATTTTCTCCAGGCATCTTTCTGAAAAACCTTCTTATGTCATTGTATTACCTAATATTTCCCTGTGATCAGAAGAAAACATCACCACCCTCTGTGATACTGCTATGAAGTGCTGTTGTAACTGCATGCATTGCCTTGTTTGGGAGCATGATTGCTTATGGGACAATGTGTCTTTCATTTTATTGAGGGCCCACTTTGCACCTTTTACAGCATGCATTCTTTCATAGATTCAGCCTACTGTCAAGAAAAAATGCATGCAGTAAAGTGCATGAAAAAAGCCATATTAAGTGCTGGGAGTAGATACTTTTTCCTACGTTTGCCCACTCTCATTTAAGCAAGTATGCACAGTAAATGATAATTTCTTGTTAATAATGAAAACAAAATGTGAAAAAAATGGAAAGTTTATTAAAGATCATTCTCTCAAGTCACAATGAAGCTCCAACCAAACACAAAGTATTATTTGTTTCCTAAATCACATGCAACAATAGACATCATTTCCTTCTTTAAGAATGAGAGGGATCAGAAATGACATATCATCTGAGTTCTAGTAGCTAGATGATTTTTATGATCTTAGCTCACAACAAGCATGAGGTGAAATCCATCAAATAAAATCTCTTTTATTGTATTTCCAAGCATGTTCACTTGGTGAGTGGTCAACTACTGAGCAAAGATGAGTTCATGTGTTTGAGCACTGGTTAATTGTCTCTGCTCTGAAAAGCTTTTCTGCTCTTCATGTTTTGCAAAAAAAAAAAAAAAAAAAAGCGAGATGTTAATGGTTAAGGCAAGGGCGTAACAACAAGAGACAGAACTTAAAGTAGGACATTTATTTAGGATGTGTGATATGGTCGTGAGTTATTATGAGAATGATTGACCATAGCCATTCAACTTACGAAGCTAAAGAGCCCCTTCCAAAATTCACTTTGCTATTAAGGGTATCTGTAGTCCCTTAAAGTAACTCTAAAGTCAAGGAAAACTTCTGTGTGACTTCTAAAGCTATGTGAAAACTATTCTGGATTTATGGGCTGCTTTAACTTTCAGGAAATGACCTCCCAGCAAATTGCCAGAGCACACTGCAGCCAAGCCTCATCTTCACAGTCTTCCTGGAAGCTTAGGGATGAGTAGCACATGGATGCAGAGCATTAGCTTTGTGCTGGGAATAGTCCTCCATCCACACAGGGGAAACCCTGGCTGCAGTGGGGTGGTTGTCATTTTGTTTTTCCTTGCTCTATCAAAGAGGCTTAATAGATATCAAAGTCCATTTATTTGAGAAGAGAAGCTTGTAATTGAAGTTATATTGCTGTTCTTAATTATGCAGTAAGGATTGTGTAGTTGGTGTCCACTTTCACAAATCTTTTTAAAAGAACTTTGTTTCTGAGAAACTAAAACTCCTGTTTGCTTCAGAAACAACTGTTGAATGAGCTCTCTGTCATCTTTTGCTGGAGACTTTGCAGAAGTTAAACCAGTCATTCAAACTGAAATACTCAATAGAAATGTCAGAAGGACTAGTTATTTGAACTCATCTTCAATTGAATGTGTAGAATCTGAATAGAAACCTTAGTGTTGGCTCCTCATCTCCTTTTATTGGGCTGGCCGGTTTCTGATCTCAGTACAGGTTGCACTTTTTAAATTTTTTACTTTTTACCTTATTTAATTCCTCCAAGTTTGCAGAAAGTCTCCATAAGTCCACGTCCAAGAGAAATTCATTACTCTGGAGGTATTTTAGAGTCCTCATAAATATCTTTAAAAATAAAACAAATTCATGTTGTTCAGTGATTGTGTTTATTTATATATATAAGGCAATTTTCATGAAAAGAATGTGCACCATAACTCTGAGATGATCTCATGATCAGAAGATGATGTTATGAGAAAATTTCCTGACCTATCTGACTGCAAAATACAGGGCTTTGTGCAATCGACGGGGTACAAATGATGGCTCTGGGCTCTCTGCAACTACTGCAGAAGTAGCAATGTTCTTGCTATGTTCTCTCTCTGAATGGAGCCACTGAGCCAACTCGAGATATGTATGGAAAAAAAACCACAGCATCAGAATTGTAGAGTTACAGATCTCTGTGCCTTTTCAGAACACCCTCCTAACCCATACTGCATAAGCTGTTGGGAGCCAGTACGAAGAAGAGAAAAGTTGTTGGAATAGCTTAAATAAAATGCTTGTGCATTTTTTACATCTCTCTAGGTTGTTCTATTAACCTGTATTGAGTGAAAACTGCCTTTGTATTTATTGGCTGTCTAAGATGGTACATTATCTAAGCTCTTACAGGGATCTTGGACCTGTGCCGAATCTGACCTAGAGCTGAAAAAGGCTTAAGAAATGTAGATTACTAAGTGGAATTTTTACTGCATTAATGAAAAAAACCCTTGTCACTCAGGTGCTGAGATTAAATTGCTGGTGAGTGTTTGGGCAGCCTTAGTTGCCAGGAGTAGTAGGCCTGAGAGCTTAAAAGGGATTTACCAGGATCCTGAAGTTCCATACGGAGATTCATTAAAATCAGTGAAATAGCGTTTCTAACATTCACCTGCTTTATTTATTCATTTTATTTCTAGAACTCTTTTGACCTCTTTAAACTGAGTTGAGAAGGAAAGACACTTCCATCTTGCTGGAGCTGTTGATCCCTTTTCTGTCTATTTCTATTGTGAGTAGGAGAAGGAATTCAGCCCGCTTTTCTCTTTAGTCCCTTTACTTTGCAATTCTTCTTGTGTTGCCTAGACTACTTATTCAGCAACATGGAAAATGTTTCACTAACCTCATCTGTTTTTCCTTAAACTAATAATAAAATTGAGATAGTCTGTGCAGAATAAGAGAAAAAAGATAGGAAGAGTTATAGGGAAGCATCCATCCTTTAAAATAGTTGTACTAATTTATGATGTGTGATGAACATAAATATTACACACTATTACTATTCTTAGTAGTAGCTGTTTTTTTCTTGTCCATACTGAAAAGCTTTTAAAATTCACTAAGATCGAGCTAATCTGGAGTTTTGCAGAGGACTGTTGTTGGTTTACTTGTTTTCTGATAAGATCAGAACTACAGATCTGCTGTTGTTCTGATGTTCAGATGTCTCATGTTCAGTAGAGCATGCTGATCATGCTCTACTGAGAAAAATCTAATCACAGATATGTACGAAGTTAAATCAAGAGTATTCTATGGATGTGTGATAGAGAAATACCCAGTAGTGTCAGTTGGAGGGTGGTTTCAGTTCAGTTAGTAAGAGGAGTAGTGAAATATCATTCAGAATTAATGCAAGAATCTGTAATCATAATGTATTTGTGGAACACTTAAAGTGATGTCCAGAGACAGAGATTCCATCAAGAAGATTAAGAAAAAACCAACAACCAAAGAGAAACTGGAAAAGCAGGGAAGATAAGTGGGGAAAAAAAGCAAGAGACCTGGAGACAGCAAATGTGAAGTTAAAGATGGCTTCACATCTCCTGTGCTGCCAGCAGGGTAAATAATGTTTAATCGTTCTTGAGAGTTGAAATCTGAACTTACCATCTTGAGAACCAGTAAATGATCCAGAAAGTAAGTGCATTCACTTGTGAGAAGTTCCTACACTGCTTCTTTTTTCACTTGCAGTTGGCTGTTCATGTTTCTGCTCAGTTTGTTGAGCCTTTATAAATTCATGCCAAGATTAACTCTGTTGAATAGTAAGAAGGAATAACCAACTTGCATCAACTGTTTCAGAACAAGTGAGAATAATCCATGATCTATTTGCTCATGTAAATAATTCTGCTGCCAGTGTAAGTGATTCTTATGCTGAAAGTTTAAAGCGTCCTTTAAAAAGATTAAAGAACTCCCTGAAATTCTCCTGCAAAATATTCATAACACGAACATGCAGAATTTAAAGGTGGCACAGAATGATACCTTATCTTTGTAGGATATTGTATTAAAAAAACAGTGGGCAGCCTGCAAATGTTAATGAATTTAATTTGTTATGGTGCTGGAAAGCAGGGATTTATGATGATCTCTAAGTTTTCAGATGATAAAGTCAATAGGTACCATTTAGCTTGGTCCTGGAGCAGCTACCATCAGTCGACTCACCTGCTCCTAGGTCAGAGGCTCACATATAAGTTAGGTGCCTACAGAAGTCCTCGACAAAGAAATCTGTGGAGACCTGAGTATAATAGTTTGCTTGGGAAAGCAAAATGGTGAGTTGGTGAGAAGATTGTTGGCTTGTGAACAGGTTGTCTGCTGCTCTCATAGGAAGGTGCCTTCCCAAATCAGCAGCATGGCAAAATCTGAGTGGTTGTGAAGGTCATTGCCTGCCTTGTCTGACTCCCACATTGCTCCCCTTCTCTTTTTCAAACTATTCATTTATACCTCTGTTTATGCTTCAATTTTGCAGATGGGATTTGTATCCAGATTAATATACTGAAAAATGTTGACTTAGGCATAAAACTTTTGTCTTATTTTCATCCTGAAGAGCTTAATAGATAGCTTTCTTGGTTCTGTATACTGAATACTCTGATACCTTGAAACAGCGAAAATCATATACACCACAATCTATGGCCTTAATGATTGAAAGACAGTGTTCCAGATCAGATGCTTGCTTCTGATTGTCTTTACCCTGTTTAATGACAAACAAACAAACAAACAAACAAAACAACCAACACAACAACAAAACAAACAACAAAACAACAACAACCAAAAAACCCCAAACAACAAAACAACACCAAAAGCCTAATTCATACGATGTTTAGAGTACTAAAAAGAAGCTTACTCAACTCAGTAACCTTGCCATGATCTGTAAGGTATGTGCCCTTAGCCATGTGATCTTATATTTCTGTGCTCTCCTACATAGAGACAAGATAGAGATGGCAGGTTTATTTGTAGCCATGAGTGGTGTGCGTAGATGCCTTAGAGGTGTGGGTGTGTATGGTCTTGTTTATGCAACAAAATGGTCTTTGGTGGGGCAAGGCATTGGTACGGCAACAGACAGTGGGCTACCACCACAGTGCAGAACAAATAACATTTCATTTCCTTCAGCACAGACAGAAGTGTGAAACAGCAAAACTCAAATTTGAAATCTTCCTTCTTTCATCTCAGTTGCATAAATATTGGGTGAATTTTATTATTATTATTATTTATTTTGTTAATTTTGAACATTGATTTGAAAAATTCCTTTGGTCAGCTGCATAGTAATGTCTGGAAAAGGAGTTTGTATAGAGCTTAAGGAGCTAGAGTTGTGGGTTGTTTTTTTTTTTTGTTTTGTTTTGTTTTTTTGAGGGATAATGAAATCAAAACATTTGCTTTTGGTTTTGCTTTACTTTTCAGTCCAGCAGTGCCATGTAAAAAAGTTTAAGCAATATTTATGAACACAGATTTAGTGGTATGGATTGGCATGTGGAAAATACATGAAGGTGTTCTTGAAGCAAAGCTGTGACTGCATTACCAAGGCTCACTCTTGCTCTGAAAGCAGCCTCCTAGGGGTGCTTGGGTGGGTGAGATGCAGAGCTGTAGCCCCCAGCTGGCACAACTTGCAGTACAGCCTCCCTGTCACAGGGAGACAAAGACAGCTTGTGCTCCCTTATCACTGGAAGCTGCCTTGGGTGCCTGCAGATAAAGTCATCAAACAACATCTTCTGAGAAATGTACCTTTGTTGCCTGCCCTTCTCTGTTCCCCTGGTGCTTTGTAGTGGGGACCTCTCCTCCTTCCACCCTGCTGCGCTGGAAGGTAAGGGTGCTTGCTGGTTGTCTTACCGCATGCAGAGTCTGAGCTGTTGGAATTACCCTGTCTTCACTGCAGATGAATGACCAAAAGGGTGCTCGGTCCAGGGGGAGCTGCGACTTTCATGTTCTGCTCACCTGCTGGCTGCCTTTCTTCATGGGCAGTGACATAAATAAACTCTTTTTCACTGATGTTAGTTGTGTGAGAAAGCAAAGTCAGTGCAAGGGAAAGAACGTGGTGGAATACTCACAACTCCTCTTTTGGCAAAAGGCCACCTTGGCTTTTTGGATTCCAATGGGTAAAACAAATGTGTTGTAAGCAAAGAGAAAAATAGCTAAAATTAAAATTGTTATTTATTCCCCCTCTCCCCCCCCACTCTCTTGCGGTGAGTCTCACTATACCACATTTTACTTGGCTTAAATGTAATGCTTATATTTAACCATGTTGTGCACTAGACTTTAAACCCATTATGGCTGTTGAGATATGTCTATCTGTGATGGGATCTTGGATGATGCTGAACACTCCCACTTTCTGCAGGTGATCTGTGTGTGATTGCCAATTCTTAACAAGGGAAAATGCATCATATCTCAGGTCAATTTTTAAATATACCTATTGTTTTGAAGGAAGAATTAGCATATATCCGCTCTTCAGAGATATTTTGGGTTTATGCAGGTACTTATGATACTTTCTATGAATCTAATGATATTGCTTTAATAGTAAAAATATCATTGTACAAATTAGTCTCTTCAGATTTAAGAATATCTCTGCAAAAACTCATGTCCATATGATAACAGCTCACTGAGGACCTGGGAAAGCTGGGAATCCAAATGTAAGAATGCACTAGTGGGTGATTAGAGATGCCTAAGTATATTCAACAAGAAATATGGAAAGCTTTTCTGAATTCATGATGCCTTCAGGCTTGTGTTTGACTGGGAATTGCAGCTGAAACCATTTTCCTATAGATTTTGAAGACCTTGAGCATAGGCTTATTTGCTTTTGTGAAAGTGCTGTTTGTGATGTTACTTATTACATTTTATGTGGAAAATTTTGTCTCCAGTCACCATCATCTTCCAGTTTCTGGTAATCACACTGTACCCTACACTACATAAGTTGCTCTGAAAGTAATGCCCTTTATTTATTTCATGGAAACTACAGCAGAAACAAATAGCACAATAATACTACTTGATAGAACCAATTCCCAGCTACAAAATACTATTTTTCAACATAATAAACACTATTAGCTGTGCATTTTCACCAGCGACAAGCAAGAGCCTACATGCTGTGCTTGTAGAAATCTGCATCAGTGGAGGTGACCCACTGCTAAAATATGCCACTCATTCCTCAGTGTGACATCTACTGTCCGGTTTCCATAAATGTTCAGCAAGTGTCAAGGGGTGCCATTTTTTTTCCAATTCCATGGCACACCTTTGCTTCCCATGCTCTTCCATGTCAGACGCCATTTTGTCAGACTGTTCCTTTGCTGCCATCCGTCACATCGCAACAACGTGTAGTGGAATATTGGTAGGAAGACTCAACCTCTAATGCAAAACCACCATAATCTGCCTCTGATGTCATGGGCCAGCATAATAAAATAGAAGGCATTATTTTTCAGAGCAGCCCTCATTTATTACACAACAGGTATTTCAGGAAATTTCTTGCAGGTCTACATTTCAGTGTTGGAAGGTCTCATGAATAACCTGTGGCCGTGAGTTGGGTCTGCTATCTTTGTAATTAAAGCACTGATAGAAAGGGTAGCATAAGCATACTCTCCTTCCTCTGCCTGAACCTGTCCAGGTAGGCAGTTGTAACTCAATTGATTATAGATGGAAATCCTGGCCTGGGCCCTGGTTGCTGCTGGGGTGTATGGAGGCAACTGCCTAGCCTGCCTCAATTACTTCTTACATTTTGCATTCAACCATAAAATGAAGGAGAAACCCTAAATTGAGGGGAATTTTATAATGAGCACCGTAGTCTTTACTGCAGTGATCTTTCCTCTGTCCCTCCTTCCCACCCCATGCACACACACACTTGCCATAAATACAATGGTGTGTGGATGAGCTCACCCTACGTCTGACCTGCATTTAGCAGCAGGGCTGTGTGGGGCAGGTAGTCCAAGGCACTGTCTGACACCAGCAGGTCTCCAGGGTACACCTCAAGTCCTGGCAAGCTCACCACCATGGAGCTACGCCTGTGCTCAGCTGATCTGTGAGACCCAACAGCAATGCATGTCATGTCTCCTCATGTGATTGTGGAAGGAATTCCTGAAGTGCTCCTTACTGATATTAGAGGAAGCAAGCTAAAAACTGAATCACAGTGGCTTATGGCATAAGGTGTTAAAGGAGAAATGAGAAGAAACTTCCAAAGCAGCAAATATCCTGTTGTCTTTTTAACTGCTCTGTGTTGCTAAGAATGAGGTTTTTACAGCTGTGGCTTACCTGAGGAGAGAGGTACCTGGGAATCTAAATACTGGAAATTTCTGGATTCTTCTAAGATTAAGCAAAAAACAGGGCAAGATTTCAGAACAATTTTGGCATTTGAGTCCACAGAAACATTTAAACACTGTGGGCCTGGATGACACGTGTTGACTTTTGGACTACATGTAACTCAGGTAATATCAAGAAAAGACAGTATAGCAATGAAAGAGTTTATTTTTTGTAATATATTTAACCATTTTGCTAATTTGTGTCATAGTCTTTCTAAATTTTTAAGAAGTTTTTTTTTTTTTCCTGCTAATTCAAATACTTTGTATTTTGAATATAATGTGGCTTAGTCAGCCTGCTGATCTGAAACTAATGCCTCTTTCCAACTATTGTTGTTACCAACAGAGTTCATTGTCTAGGCTGTAGATCCATCAAGAAGAAAGACAGAGGCATTCTGTATCCAGCAGTATGTTTGTGCCAGAGGCTGCTCACATTCAAAC